TGGGTGAGGTGAGCAGGAAGGGAACCTTTATCCCTCTCTCAGGTGCTCTTTGAGCAGTGCAGACCCCAAAGTATGTGATGCCTTGGGAGGAAAATTCCCACCAATTCTCAGGGATGTTGGGAAACCCAGTCTGGGTTAGCACAGGGAAGGGATTGCCCCCCAGGCCACTGAAGACCAGCACAAGGAGCAAGATCCACTCAGCTGCCCATCCTTTATCCTAAATAATCCTTCTGCTCAGCCAGGGAAAATCCCACCACGACAGAGCTGAGCAAATGGCAGGACATGGTGGAGCAGAAACAAACACAGCAAATGTCAAGACTTTTTACTTCTTCTGGTTGTTTTTACAACAGCAGGAAGAAAAATCCCCAGATCTTTCCTAACCAGGCACAGAGCAGCCTGGAGACCTCTCCCACCTGCTGCCTGGATACCTGGAGCCAGCCAGGTCCCTGGAGCTGGGGAGAGTCACCCCTTCCCATGGCTGGAGGAAGGCAGAGGGCAGGGCTGCTTTCCTTGGATAGGATGTTTTCCCTTTGGATAGGATGGTGTCTGAGCACTCAGTGCAGTAACCCAGGAGGCCGGGGGGATTTGTCCTGGTGAGGTGACACCTCTTTCAGAGACGCTGCCAGGCAGCTCTGCTTCCAGTGCCAAAATCCATGCCTTTCTCCGCACCAGGGAGGTTAAGGAACTTAAAGCTTCCTTCCCTATCCCTTTCCTTTCCCTTCCCCATCCTGCAGCCCACGCACTTGGGAGACCATTGCAGGGGTTAAAATAAATGTGTCAACTCACTCATCCGTGTCTTTTTTGCTCTCCTCGATGAACGCGATGGACTCGGATCTAAGGCGGTTCGTCACTTCGTACGTACGCAGGGTGACTCCAAAAATATCCTCGTGGTACCGGCTGTCATCCTGAGGGACAGGGGGGGCAGAGGGGAAAAAAGGAGCATTTGCAAACAGTTGGTGTTGTTGCAGGCTCTGGCGGGGTGGGGAGGTGCCAAACACACAGCACAGGTCCTGGGGTTTGGCGCGGGAGCGGGTGGGATCGCAGGGCGGAGGGGTGGGAATGAGCAGGGAGGGGAAATGACCTTGCCAAGGTCACAGCGTGGGGCAGCCCAGGAGCTGCTCCCTGTGTTAGATCCCCTCAGCTGCAGCCCAGGGACTGCCTGGTGTCAGGGGGACAAGCAGCCCAAAGCCAGCCCATGTACAACCAACTCTGGGCTCCCTCAGCTCCTGGGTGCAGTGGGGGCACATGTTTCAGAAGGGATCATCCCATAGGAACCAGGCTGGATTATCCTCCTGGGGCGAAGCAGAGGTGTTTGAGCATCCATCCTTGGGGCTTTTGTCCCAAACTGAGCCTATCTGGGCTCCAGCTGCAACACCTGGGCAATGTGTTTGCCCAGGGACATCATCCTGCCAGCCATATAGGTGGGGAGATTTGGACAGGGGCACCCACAAACTGCCCTGGTGGGTAGGTGGGATGGAGGGACTAAAAAACAATCCTCGTTTGATGAAGGGACTCATCAAGGTGAACAAGCCCTGCCTGGGCTACCACAAGGTCCTGCACCAGTGCCCAGCACAGCGGCAGCTCATCCCAGGAGCCCAGCATGGGCTGAGGGGGCTGCAGGGCTCCTGCAGAGCAAAGAGGCTTCCACCCTGCACCCAACCTTCTGGAAGATCACCCTCCTGACCTCACCCAGGCCTCGGCAGCGGGGGCAGGAGCACAACAGCTTTTCCCCCAGAGCCCAGAGCAGGCAGCAGGAGCAGGCAGCAGGTGCAGTGCCCGCAGCAGGAGGCTGTGTGGGGTCTCAGGGCTCACACACCGCTCACCCTCAGCTTGCTGATGAAGGCGCCTGCCTCCTCCACCGACAGCTGGCCCTGCTGCCTCACGATGCGCTGGATGGTCTTGAGGACGTCCCCGGCCATGGTGACATCCCCGCAGACGTAGATGTGGCCTCCCTGCTCCTTCAGCGCTTTGAACACCGTTTGGGCCAGCTGCTCCTGCAACACGTCCTGCACGTATTTCTGGGGGAGGAGGAGGAGGAGGAGGAGGAGAGAGCTGAGATTAACTCCAGTTTCTCAGCCCTACCCACCTGCAGGCTCTGTGTGCACCAGCTGCCCTTGAGGCAGCAGTGCAAGGTGACACCTCTTTGGGGGAACGAGTCTGAGGCTCGCAGCACCCACAGGGAGAGAGAAGAGATGGGGAAGGTTGTAGAGCATCATCCTGCTCTTGCACATTTACACCTTCACCATGTCTTTCCTTGCCAGGCCCGCTCAGGTGCCTGTGGGAATTCAGAGCAGACTTTGCACTGGCTCTGGGCGATGTCACCCATCAGGTGACATCCCTCCTCACCTGCCTGCTTTCCAGATGGACCTTCCCCCTCCCTCATCCCCTCCCACCCGGTGGGGATGGCTGCAGCCCCCCAGGGCAAAGCATGAGCAGCGTGGGCACACGTTCAGGGGGTGCAGGGATGGGGGTGTGCCCTGGGAAGGGGCACACCTAGGCATGAGCCACCAGGGTGTGCCAAGGGACCAGCACCTCCACCGTGTGCTGGCTGGCTGTGGCCACCCAGGGCTGCCCAGCAGCCCCGCAGCAGTGCCCACCACACACCTTTGGTTTGTCTGGCTCCCGGGAGTAGGCCGTGTACAGCTCTCTGAAGACACCGTGGGTTTTGGCAAAGAGCGTCTCCTCCTTGTAAATGTGGTCGATCCTGGACTGCCGGCAGCCAAACACCAGGACCATGGGACAAGGCTTCAGCCCTGGGTGAGGGTGGCAAGCAGTGAACCCAGGGATCCCCAATTCCACCTCCCTTCAGACCTGCCAGCAGATGTGCTGGCACATCCCAGGCAGGAGACTGGACCCCTCCACCCCTCTGCCACCAGCCCAGGGTTCCCAAGCAGTGCCTGAGATGAGGAGCAGGAGGAAGGAGCGTTGACCCACCTTTGTGCTGGATCTCAAAGAGCCGCTGCTGCCAGAAGCTGCGGAAAGGGGCGATGCCGGTGCCGGGGCCGATGAGGATGCAGGGCACCTGGGGGTCCTGGGGCAGGTGGAACCCGGGGGCACTGCACACACCAAAGACACCAGTTAAACCCAAGCTCCCTCCCTCACCTCTGCCCCCAGCGAGCTGAGACACCCCCTGCACGGGGAGGGGTAGAAAATGAGCTGAAATCCCAGAGAGCGACATTTTAGTGCAGAACTGCACCCAAGGGTTTTTGCTCACAAATCCAGCCCTGTTTTCTCCCACCATGAGAAGAACTGAGGGCAGAGATGTCATCCTGCAAGGGGGCTCACCCCATCTTTCTCAGCCCTTGTGGAACACTTACCCTCTGACAAAGCAGGGCACCACCTCATCGGGCTGTATCCGATTGAGCCAAGAGGAGCAGACTCCGTGGTGGATTGGTCCTTCTCCATCTGGCAGGGGAGGGAAGGAGGTCTGTGCTTGACACACCAGCCAACAACTCCAGTTATCTTCTTTCCTAAAACCCTCCCTGCCACATCCCACATGAAGACCTCACTGAAACAGTCAGTATCTCTGAATCCATTCTCCATGAACTTGGCAGAATTGGCACTCAAATCCCACTGTGGAGCTGCCCAAGTTCACCCAGACCTGGGAGAGCTGGGCCTCCACAATACTTAGGAAGAACCCAACCCTTCTTTGGTCCTTTTTGGCAGGAGCAGCATCGTGCTGTGGTGCTCCCAGGCACCAGCCCCTCTGTGGCAGCTCCACTGAGGGCTTCCCTGTGTCCCACCTGCTACAGGAGCACCGGGGCCCTGTCCATCTACACCATCACCAGGGCTGCTTGGGCAGGCACAGAAATTTTCCTAGGGGCACACAAAGTGGACTTTGGGGTGGGCAAACACGGCCCTACGTGGAGCTCGGATTATGTACCTAACCCAGCGTGGCACCTCTGGAATAAACTGCCATTTTACGGATGGGTGCTCTCCATAACATGGGACAGCCGTGGCGTGAGCTGAGGGAATCCAACAGCTAGAAGGGCTTTAAACAACATCCCTCTGCCAAAGGTGAAGCTTTCCCCCTGCCCCCCACGGCACGGTACCTCTGGTGCGGTAGGACACCACGGCCACGGTGAGGTGGACCTCGCCTGGGTACATCTCCGGGGAGGAGCTGATGGAGTAGTAGCGTGGCTGGAGGAGGGGGAGCTGTGTGAGCAGCAGCGTGGAGGGCATCTGCACCGAGGGGAACTCCTCCAGCACCTCCACGATGGTGGGGTTCTTGGACCACTTCCACTCCTCGTACTCCTGCAGGCCCTGCAGCCCGAGAGAGAGGGAAGGAAGAGAGAACTGCAGCATCCACCTCTTCCAAGCCAGGTGCTTCCACTGATATCCCCCTGGGCATAGTGTGGGTGGCAGTGAAGGCAGGCAGGAGGAACCGTGTTGTCACCACAGTGTGGGATGAAAACGCCCTGGGGTTGTGAGTGTCCCCCAGGGCCTTGGAGAACACGGGGCTTGGGGTCCTTACCTTGCTGAGGACCTGCAGACGTTTCTTCTCTGTCTCACTGGTGGCCAGCAAAGCAAACTGCTGCAGCAGCAGGGGTGTGGGAGGGGTGGTGATGTCCAAGTAGTACTTAAAAGCCTGGAAGATGGTGCAAGGTGGGACACGGTTCTCGTCTGTCCAGTTGCTGATGACACCTGCCAGGAGGGAATGCAGCACAAGTGTGGGATCAGCACAAGGGCCAAGGTGGGCAAATCTTTGCTTTCATCCCCCATATCAGCTCTGAGAGAGTGGGTTACTGTGTTCCAGCTCTGGTTACACTGTGCATGCCTGTATCAGATTTATCCCCAAAATACAGTGTTGGGATGGTCCATCAACAACTCTTCTTTCCAGCTCTTTCTATGAAAATATAAACACCTTTAATTTTCCCAAGGAAGAAGTATCTTCCCTAGGGCCCTGCTCCCCCTTCAGACCCTTGCTCTGCATCCCAAGTGCAGATGAGCGACAGCTCTGGGCAGAGGAAGGTTGAAGGAGGTGCTCCCAGTCCAGGAAAACACAGCAGAAAGATGGGAAATGATTTCTCCTGGGGGCCACCCAGCACCCTGAGGAGCTGCTGCAGGAGCTGGGCAAGGAGGAGAGAGGCCACCCCTACAGGAGGTGGCTCTGGTTACCTAGAGCCGTGCTCCTCTCCTCCAGCAGCTCCACCTTCACCAACTGGTTGGCTGGAGGGGCGTCTTCAAGCCTGTCGATCAGGGCGTTGACCAGGTCCTCGTGGTTCCCGGGAAACACCCCCAGGTGGTCCCCGGGCAGGTACTGCAGCTCCTGGTGCCCGTTGGTGTGCAGGCGCAGGAAGATCGTCAGGCGGCTGCGGGGAAAGGAGGGAGAGCAGGACGTGTTTTGGGGGAGGAAAGGAGGGAAAGCAGTTCTGGGGGAGTCGCTGAGCCCTGACCTCGAGAGCTGCTGGGCGTGCTGGGCACTGGTGGCACGGCCAAGCCGCGGTGTACCCACCCCCCCCCCTCCCGAGCGTGTCCCCAAGGTCACAGCAGGGAGAGGGGACGCTGCATCCCCCGCCTCGCCCCCCCCGCCGCTGACTCACCCTTGGGGGCTTTTCAAAAGGGGGGAAAAAAAAAAAAACCAGTTTAACCTCTTGCTTCAGCAATTTGATGGTTTCTTTGGCCGCCACTCGGCCCAGCTTCCCATCCCCCGGGCTGACTGAGGCAGCAGCAGAGGTTTCACCGTGCACAGAGGCAGGGGACACCAACAGCCCTCCCCGGCTTCACGTGGCTGCCAGCCCGGCTCCCGGTTTGCACAGAGGTGGGTTCCACGGGGCATTCAGGGGTCAAGGGCAGCAGCAGTGCATGCACGGGTGCTTGGGTGCACCACGAGGCTGCCCCTCTCCCAGGAGAGCTGCACTTCCTACCTGGACTTGGGGCTCTGCAGGTTCTGGCGCGCGATCAGCCGGGCTGCATAGACACGTTTCTTGTGGATGCTGTAGAGCCCTGAGGGGGAGAAGTGCCAGGGAGGGAATTCAGCAGAGCCTTCTGGCTCTCACAGGGCTGTTGGTCACTGCTGAGGGCTCAGCCCTTTGGGCCAGAGCTGGCCACAGCCAGAGGACCACCCTCCTGCCCAGCTCCAGCGAGCCTGGGGGATCAGAAACCCCAGGGGACAACCAACCACGTGTCCCTTTTGCCAGTGACCCGGGAGGGCTCTTGAAACCGCCCGTATGAGACATGGGGATGTGCCCTCACGTGCCCACAGGCACCTGTCGCTGCCAGGGCCACCTGGCTGGCAGGAAAGTGCCTGGATTTGGGAAGAGCTGAGCCAGCGCGGCAGATCCTCAGCTGCAGGAGCCGTGCTGAGGGGCCAGGTGTCGCTGGGCTGGACCTGCCGTGGAGCGGCACTGGACGGGGAGAGCTTGGAAGGATCCCAGGTTTCCAGCTCCTTGGTTCAAAAAACGGGGTCAGGAGGAGGGAGATCAGATCATCTCCAAACATCTCTGTTACAGACACCGACAGGGACCAGCCAGAGGGGCCTGAGACCATCACAGGCCGCTCCCTGGGAATGTGATGGCGATGAAAGGCAAGGCTGAAACGCTGGGAGTTTAACACAGAACAAAGCAAAGAGGTCTGGCCCCTTTGCCCTCAGTAAAACCCACCATGTCTCCTCCACCTGCCCCATGCTCAGAGCGCTCCAGGTGACCCCATCTTCATACCCTGTGTGAGCTCTGGGGCCTCGGCCACGTAGGTCAGCCGAAACTTGCTCCTCTTCCAGCTCCGGTCGTTGCTGATGAGGGAGTTGTTCGCTTTCTCGATGTTGACGTCGTCCCCCACGCAGAACACGTCACACGCTGCCTGCAGCACACACCAGGCTCTCAGGCATCTCCCCCTGCCCCTGGGGAGCCCCCTTGTCCCAGCCCACCTCTGCCAAGCAAGGAGAAGGAGTCCCCGACATGTAGGGCTACACCAGCGGCCACGGGCATGCCTCGTGGTGCCCTCCAGGGATAAGGCAGGAATTCAACACAGCGCTCGCCCTTGGTGTGCAGCACAAACCAGAGCATCACCTCCACCCAAACATGGAGCCTCGTGGGCTGGGGGGGTGCCAGAGTGTCCCAGTGCAGGGAAAGGAAGGCTGGGGTTGGATCCAGCTCTGAGCAGCAGCTCTGTTCCCATGTCCTTCTCCCCCTGCTCCTCCCTGGAGCACCAGGGAAGCAGCTTTACCTTGAAGACCTTCTTGGCCCAGGTCCTGAAGGACTCCTCCTGGCCACACAGCTCATCCCCCTCTCCCATGCGGAGGATCCTCTCCCCGCCCAGCTCCTCCAGGAGGGTGTCCACGGCCCGGGCGAAGGCGCAGAAGTGGGGGTAGGCACGTGAGCCCAGCCCAAACACGGAGAACCTGCGGAGAGGTGGCTCAGCTGTGGCTGCCCAGCTGGCAGGGACGCTGGCACCTCCCTCTCCTGCCCCACCATCCCCCAGGGAGCGTGGAGGAGTCTGCACATGGCCAAAATACACCAGAGCTCCTGCTCTGTCCCTCCTGCAGCAGGAATTCCTGCCTCCCACCCCGTCCCCTTTACCTGACGTTAGCCAGAGGCCCCGTGCTCTCGAAGTTGTCCCTGGAGTCAGGGCCATCGCTGGAGGATTTCCGAGCATCCGAGTAAGAGGAGACGCTGTTGAAACGGACCTTGTAGCTCCTGTGAACAGCAACAACAGCCAGTGTCCCACAGGTGACACCTGTGTGGGGTCCTCCTCTACACAGAGGGGGACTGAATTGTGCAGGTTCAACATTCCCTGTGCTCCCTCCCGGGGTTGGGCCACCCCTGTGTTGTATCACGGTCAGCTCCACGAGGTCCTTGGCCACCCCACCGTCGCCAGTGGTGCGGAGCTGACAGGACCTTTGGCACTACCTGTCCTTCCCTGGTAGCACACAAGGTCGGGTGTATGTAGGATATTCTGAGGTTTTTTTTCATTCACAAGAAGTGGAAAATTTAAAAAAAAAAAAAAAGGAGTGAGAGAAGAGGGGATGAGGAGGGGGAAGGGGAGCGGGGAGAAAAAAAAAATCTGACAACAGCAGAAGTATTTCTGAACTGAACCATCTTCAAAAATTGCTCTCCACAAGGGTTTCTAAATATACTGGCAGAGCAGTGAGGCAGTGGTGTGTGCATGAGTCACGGCAGACCTCCTGCACCCGGCACGGCACGCACAGAGACAACCCCGGAGAGAAATGACTGCCAGGGTCACAGGGCCCTGGGCTCCGGCTCTGCTCCACAGCCTCCTCCTGCCTCCCCTCCCAGATTTCCACGCTTTTCTGCTTCGCTCCACCTGCTTCAGTCTGCTTCTTTCTCTGCTGTGCCCGTGCCCTCCCCCCCAGGTTGCCCCGAGTTGCGTGGGGAGGGCAGGGCAGCACAACCCCTGGGGTTGGATGGGCACAGAGCCCGGATTCCCCAGGTGGGTGCTGGGTCTAAAGTTGGGGCACCAGCAGCTTTTTCTGCAGTGGGAAGGTCCTTGTGTTGGGAAACGACTGCTGAAGGACGGGCTGCACTGAGCAGCGGGTCCTTAAATAGGAATGGCTGATGAATGCCTTGGAAAACCCTTGCTGGAAGACATGAGGAACCAAATCTACAACCACAGCACAGCCACAGGGCTGTGATCAGAGAGCTACGGCCACGGTGCCCTGGCAGGCTCCTCCAGACACTGGGATTTAGAGAGGCCACCCCACCCAGAGGGGTCTCAGCCACCCTCAGCATTCCCTGCTGGACGTGGAGCTGGGAGTCCGTGGGGTGAGTGGGCAGGAGCTGCTCTCTCCAGCTCTCTTCTACAGACCCCAGGCTGACACTGTCCCTCTTCCCCAGACAGTCTCCTCCAGGTCTCCTTTTCTCACTGCAAAAGCCTTTTTTCATGTTTAAGTCCTGGACATGGACTGGGGCAATCCCAAGCACAGATACAGGTTGTCCAGAGAAGCTGTGGATGCCCCACCTCTGGAAGTGCTCAAGGATAGTCTGGACAGGGCTTGGAGCAACCTGGGCTAGTGGAAGGTGTCCCTGCCCGTGGCAGGGGGTGGAATAAGATCACCTTTAAGGTCCCTTCCAACCCACACCATTCCATGTTTCTGTGATCTCTTCCTGCCATCCGGAGCTGTGACCTCTTGGCCTGTCTTGCAGGGAGCACAGGCAGCAATTTATTCCCTCTCCGCCTCTGCAGCCACCTTTTCCCTCCATGAAATCTGCCACCTCACTCCGTTTCTGTGTCCTTTCCTCCAGATAAAAGAGCTCTCGCCCTTCTGATCTGTCCCCGCGGGTCGCTGTTTCCAGCACTCTGCCCACTTTTGCTGTCAGGTAACCGAGCCACAGGCTGTCCTGGCTCCGAGAAACTCCTGCCAGCCCTGAAATTACACTTAGAGGTGACTGGGACAGCAAGCCCTGAGCTTTTTATAAACTGAGGGTTTTATCCTCCTCAAACTTGCCCGGCTTGTCACGGGCAGCGCCGCCGCACCCAGCCCGCTGCTGCACCCCAAAAAGCAAAGATCCTTGGGGTGAGAACCACGTGTGAAATGCCCCTTCTCCGTGCAGACACCTCCAGGGCATCCCTGATTTGTCAGCTGTCCCCATTAGGGCACGAGCCATTAGGAACCTGATGGGTTTTCAGCAGCCCCGCGGGGATCCATCAGAGGATTTGGCTGCTCCCCGAGGGGACCGCTTTGGGGCTGCAGCGTGGCCAGCACTGCAGAGCCACGAATTGGTGCCTGCCGTGTTTGTCACCGCCCTGCAGCCCCTCCCCTCCGCGCTGCTCAGGCAGAAAGGCAGGGCGAGGAAATCCCCCCGCACCCCCCTGACCGGGGCTAATTCATCCTTAATTAAGGAGCAGCCTTTAGCCGCTTGTTGACTCAGGAGACATTCCAGAGCAGAGCAGTGTCCCAGTTCCGTGAAACAGATTCTTCTTCGCAGCTAAAATCAGAGGAGACCCCAGGTGATTATTAACACTTTGGCTGCCCTCCCTTCCCAGCCTCTGGAATGTTGCACCGAGCTGCTCAAGGCTCATCTCCCAGCGATGGTGGGGGGGTTTTCTACAACCCCGGATTCTGTCTCCAAGGCACCCGCTCCAGACTCGCTGTTACAAACATCACAGGATTTATAACAGCTCTTGTTTTCCCTAGAAATATTTTCACACGATGCAGGAAGTTAAATTTGGTTCCCAAGCCCTCCCCCCACCTACATCCACATAGCAGGGAACTCCCTTCTACCTCCAACTCGTACTATTTTTGTGTCTCCTGGACAGCCCCAGCCCTCAGATGATTTTAGGGGAGTTCCTACTTTTATTTGGTGGGTTTTTTTTCATAGATTCCTGACTCTTAAAGCTGAAGAAAGCCCAGTGCTTTTGACCTCCCTGGGACCTCCACTCTCTCCATTCCCTGGTTCTCCAGGCAGGTCCCATCCCTTGGATCTTTGGAAGTGTGACACCTGCATGAGGATTTCCCACTCCTTTCCAAGAGGATGAAGGCAGGGAAGCAGGGTGTCCTGGCTGGGGGGGCTGCTGGGGCTTGGAGTGGGGAGGGAGGGGTTTGGAGTGCTCTTACTTCCTCTCCTCCAGGTTGGAGTTGGGATTCTTCATCTCCATTAATGCACAGCCAAATTTCTGCAGAGAAGGAAGAAAAAAGGCCGTCAGTTTTGCCAGTCCCTGCAGGAAATGAGGCTGTGACCACAACTGGGCTCTGTCCCTGCCTGCTGTTCCCTGCAGCCAGCACCACTGCTGGGCAGGGCTGGATGAGCACCCAGCCAAGGTTTGTCACCTTCTGTGTGACCCCAACAGCACAGGACAGGAGGAATTTAGCCACAGATCAGTGGCTATAAGTGGGAATAAGCAGATATCCCTATTTCTGAGCAGGCTGGAGAGGGGCAGGTACAGCACCAGCTATCACACAACACCCAGACCTGTCCTGGGCCGTTCCAGCTCAGGCTGAGCGAAAAGAGGATGTTCTTCCCTGTGCCCCAGTGCCTGTCCCCTGCTGCAGCCCCCACCCCTGCTCCCTGTCCTACCTCTCCGTTCTCGGGGGGGTCCCCATTGCCGAAGGTGCTGGTGACCACCAGGACCATGGTTTCGTGCTCCAGGTGCACGATGTCGTACTCATCCATGGACATCACCTGGGAGAGGACAGAGAGCTCAGCGGGAGGTGGGGAGATCCTCCACCAGCCAGCCTGCTGGGATGGACCCCATCCCACCTGGAGATGGGACAAATCCCTGCTGGCTCCGTGCCGGTGCACTGGCAGAGACCTCCACACAGGGAGGATGAGGACAAGAGCCCCGAGGGACACGGACAACCGTGGAGCTACCACTCAAGGGGCTGCAGGAATTACGTGTGCTACAATGCAGGAGTATTAACTGGAAAAATTCCTGGGCAGGCTTCAGCCCAGACCCACAGTCACACCCCTGGGAGCTGCTGAAGCCCCTTGGCTTCATCAAAACACACACTTTCCAACATTCCTCTATTTCCTTGGCCCACCCACAGTTCCGTGCCCAGGACCTTGCAGGAGTCAGGAGCTGCCGCAGTACCTTGGCATCAAAAGCGTGCTTGAAGATCTCACACAGAGTTTTTGCATAGACCTGGGACTTGCCCGTTTCTGTGGCGTAAAGGATGGTGGCCTTGACCCTCTTGGCCATGGCCTGCCCCATCAGCTTGGCCGAGAACTTCACAGCCCTAGGAAGCAAGAGGGAATCCCAGTAAGACAGTTTGCTGTCAGTGCCTCCAGCCCAGACCTTTTTAATCATTGTTAAATGAGCTGTCTGCCTTAAAAAGCTGCAGCATCGCTTCTGTTGGGAGGCTGTGGAAGAGCACGTTCATCCTGGCTTGTCAGAGGGGAAGACTGGATGGGGGAGCTTGAGCTGAAATATCTAAATGGGTGTAAGGAGGAAAGGGCTAACTCAGGTGTTGGGGTGGTATTTCTGCAGGGCCAGAGACGCAGAAGAAGAACTGGGGGTAGAAGTTGCTGAAAGCAGTGGCCAGGAAATGTCAGTGGGAAAGCTGGACACCAACCAGAGCTGAAGCTACAGCAGGAACAGGGGCTTCTCCATCCCTTTGAATCCAAGCTGGCTGCCTTTCTGCAGGAGGCATCTCAGCCAACCTCACACCCAGAGCCCTGAGACACCGAGGAGGTCAGACAGAGCTGTCTGCAGTCCCTCTGATCTGCACTCCGGTGACACTGTGAACTTTCCTGGGAGGGAAGTTCCTGCCAGGACCGAGAGGTTGCCCATTTCTCTGAGCTGTGTCCAGCTGCCTCCCGTGGCTGCAGTCGTGACTGGCTGTGTTTCCTCCAGTTCTCCCCATGGGCTCAGCTCTGGCAGAGGGGCCTGAGAGGTCACCAACCTCTCTAATCCTCACCATCCAGGGTGATGCAGCACTAGGGATGCTGACTCCTTGTCTGTGGCAGCAGTGGGAGCACCGTGACAGGGCACAAGGGAGGCACGGACCAGTTTTGGGGCACTGAGCCTGCTGTGGCCCGTTTGTCACGTTAGGGCCATTCATAATCACATCATCACTGTTTTTCCTAAGTGCAGAGTATCTTCACCTTTTTTAAGTGGACCATCAAGCCTTTAAATGGGGCCACCAGAGGTCTGGATTTAGCCTGATGCTGCAACAGGGAAAGGGCGGTTTTTGGGAGGCTGAGGGAGCACAGAGCAGCTCTGCGGCCTTTGCAAGAATCAGAGCTGCTTGATTCCCTTTGACAGGGTGATCAGAGCCTGCCTCAGGTTCTCAAGTTCAGCAGGACTCCTGCATCCCCTTCAGATGAGCTGTGGGGAGTGGGCACTGCAGCTGGACTGGTCACACTGGGGAGAGAAGTCCAGCTTCCCCCTGCCAAGGAGGGAAGAAATGCTCTGGGAGAATCACTTTAGGGAAAAAAAAAAAAAAAAGGGGAGGAAAGAAGAGTTAGAAATCTCACCAGGATGGTTCATCCTGCCTCCCCTGGGCAGCTCCTCCCCATGACAAAGTCAGCCTCGGGAACATTTCTATTTGCTGCTCTATGATCACTGCTTTGCTTTCCCATGGGGCAAATGTCCCCTGTCCCCAGGACTTGCACAAGCCCCAGGGCAGGGAAGGGGCAGGACAGGCAGGCACTGCAGGTTTGAAGGCTCAGATTTGGCCAGAACCAGCACAGCCTGTCTGAGCAGGCACAAGCACCCTGCCAAGCTGGGCCGGGTCTGCCGCTTGTCCAGCTCATCAGCTCAGATTAATGGGCAATTGCAAAAAGAATTCCTTTTCCCTCCACCAGGAACAATGGAGATTTTTTTATTTTTCTTTTTTTAAATTACCTGCCATGCTCACGTTTTTTTCTAAAGCCATCCCTCACCCGGGCACACACCAGTGCAGGCATTGTTTCTCCTCACTCAATGGCCCAATTAATCTCCCCGTGCTCTCCCCTGCCCAGGCTCAGGCTCCGGTGTCAGCTGAAGGAGCACATTCATCAGCTGCTGATCATGTTTATGGATGCACCACGGCAAACAGCTCACAGGAGGTGACAGCTGAAGAGTGGGAACAAACTGCTAGGAGGGGCTGGTGGAAGCTGAAGCGTGGGGAGATGCTGTGGGGAGCCAGGGCCACCTGGCAGCCTGGCCACCGACCCGGGGCAGACCCGGCCCTGCCCAGCCTTGGCTGGCAGCTCCTACGGGCACCTCTCTGCCAACGGCCCACGGGGGAGGCATTTGGGCCAGGATCAGCCTAAAGGTCCAAATTACACTTCATTCCTCTGCCCCTGCTGACTCGGAGCTCTGGCAGGGGCAGAGGGACTCGTGTGGCCCCTTTCCAGGGGTCAAGTGACCATGAAGTGCAAATCTCAGCTCAGCCCTGCTCCATCTGCTGCCTGGAGGGAGATTCCTCCTTCCTGTCTCCCCCACCTCCTTGCAAGGAGGGTGTTTGGAGGGTCAGACACTCACTGGAGACCTCAAGAAGGTAAAGAATCACCGAGGAAAAGAGAAATATGGACACGAGTTTCATGTCCCTTGTGCCAGCACAGCCCTGGCCGGTGAGGGGACATGTCCCTGCCCCAAGGAGGCTGTGAAAAGACAACCAGCCAATACACTCATGAGAAGCGGGAAAACCATCCCTGAGCATCTCTTACTGGAGAATGGACAGCTTGGGAGAACAAAGTGCAACATCTGCTATTCACCCACTCCCACACCTTTTGGTGGTCTAATAGGGTGTTCAAGGACTGCCTGTCTGTCCAAATGTCCCTTGTGGTAAAGCCTCCAGAGGTCCAGGCTCACACCCCTCCCTCACAGGGCAACTTTCAATCAGAGCTGCCCAAAACCAGGACCAGCCCCAGCCCCAAACTGGGGGTTCCCCAGAGCCTGCTGGTACTTACTTTGCTAACTTCTTAAATCCAATGGCCCTCTTCTTGGTAGGTGTCCCATTGACCCCTTTCCAGACGTGGGTGTTCCAGGGGTCCGGCTGGAGAGAGAGAAGGGCAGCAGCGCCTCAGAGCTTTGGGAATGCTGTGCCCACAGCACTGAGGGTTGAATTCCTGGAGCCAGGGAGGGGAGGAGCAGCTGGCCTCCCCTTCACAGCCCTCCCTCATCCTTGGAGCCCCGGGGGAGGGAGGGGGGGGTATTTTTTGGGCAGTGTGGCAACGGAGGATGCACAGCAAAATCGCAGTGTAATAAACCTTGCTGGCTTGTAACAGCATCTGGCCAACTGTTCCTCACCTCTTGAGATGCTCACTAACAACCCACAGGCGAAAAGAAGGCAGGCAACGCCAGAAGGGGAGAGGTGATGGAAGCAGATTCTTCCCCCTCCCCAGCCCACTGGTGTGGCTTTTTTTTTTTTTCCCTAAGAGGCCCTTTGGGAAGGGGAGGCAGCAGAAGCCAGGAACAAGCAGGCAGAAGCTGATTCCGTGCCCTCACAGACTGCAATCAGGGCCAGGAACCATCGGGGTTCCTGGGGGGTTGGTTATAGAAATGAACAGACTGCTCCTGGTTTCTGATTGTTCCTTAAGGGCTCTTGACTAAAGGTCACATTGTGTGGAAACCACCCGAGCAGGGATGGCTGGATAATGAGGGAGTGTCTGCTTGGGGGCTTTTCCCCCCCTCCCCCCCGTGGTCTGAAGTGTGAAACACTCCAGCAGCAGCATTTCAGCCTCCTGCTGGTCCCGCTGGGCAGGAGCCCCCCTGGCAGACTGTTGGATCCCCAGGCTGGCAGGAGCCATCCACTCAGCCCTGCAGGCTGCAGAGGGCAGGGATGCAGTCATTTTCCAGGTCATTCCCTCACTCATCACAGCGCAAAATGAGGCTCTTCCAAAGGGAGGAGCTCTGCTTGATCCTAAAGGGGGAGGGGGGGGTCAAAGGGTTGGGTGTCTTGGTGTCCCACGTTCTCACACAGGGGCAAAAAGCCATTGCCCCGAGACAAGGGGTGACATCCAGGGGGTTATTACATGACATTAGGGCATCAATTAGGCTTGTCATGGACCCGAGGGGCAGCTTGCTGAAGGGACTGGATGGTGTTCCTGCCCTTCCTGCATCTTCTGAGCTGCAGCTCCCACCCTGCTCTTGGCTCCACCTCTGGGCACCGGTGGGAGGTGAAGGTGAGGGCAGTACCTGGTACTCGAAGGAGGGTGTGAGGCGGTAGTTGAGCATTTCCTGATGGAAAACTGGGGTGATGCTGCCAGACATGGGCGGGACAATCCACACCCAGTCGGCAGGACAACCTCCACGGCACCGGTACTCGTTCTCCATGTGCTTGATAAAGGACTCCGTGGCCGAGTGGTGATCCACAATGGTCACCTTGTCACTCTGTTAGGGGAGGAGAGAGCAGAGCCCACAGCTGGTACTACACCCCAGAAGGCAAGAGCCAAGATTTTTGGAGCTCCCGTGGTCTTACAGGACCTTGGGAGATGACCCAGGGTGGCTGTTGCCCCTGGTCTTCCCAAGGAAGCTTTAAGCTGCCCCAGTCCTTCCTGGATAGATGCGCTACAGGATCACTGCTCCTGTTATTCGTTGTGGGCCAAGCAAAGACTGAGATGGCACGAAGAGGATGGAGCATCCTCTGCTCCTCCCCTTGGAGAGCTCTTTCATGGCATGTACAGCTCCATGGGGCAGCTCTGGGAAGGGTTCTCACCCTCTGAAGTTGGATTGCCAAGGACTAGTTCAGCCACTCAACCTTTAAGTGCTGGCAGGAGGAGCCAATTTTTGCCTTGTGGATGCGACAGAAGGGCTGGATTTTGCTCCCTAGGGATATTCCCTCTGGACCAGCAGAACTCAGACGCTGGTAGCGCTGTCTTTACAACATCCAGGGCACAGAGATTATAAATTTCACTGCAGAACAGCCCAAATTAGGGAGGCACAGCCCAGTTTCTGTGTTCTCCTCAGATTGATGTCTCCAGCCCACTCCCCGTGTCCCTCAAGCCTGACCCGAACACAGCCCTGCTCCGGAGGTACCTGGAAGCTGTACAGCACAGCAATGTTGATCTCCACCAGGGCCTGGTCCTTCCACAGCGAGGAGGTTTTCCTCATGTCCAGGTTCATTTTCTTGGCCACTTGCTGCAAGAGAACGTGGCAGAAGGTGAGGGCTTTTAATGGCCAAGGACCAAGGACTGGGGATCTCTGCGTGGGCAGAAGAGCCCAAAGGAGGGAGCCAGGCTGACACAAGGCAGCCTCAGGGCAGGGAAGGGCTGATGTTTTGAGAAGATGAAGTCCTGCCTTTTGCTCTCCATGGCAGGAGCATGGCCTTCCTTCCCCCCTGAGCAGAGGGAGCTGACCAAATGCTGCCTGAAGGGCCGTCGAGAGCAGTTGCACACACACACACATACACTTGCTCTCACCCCTCTGCTTTTCAGGTGCCTGGGGAGCAGTGCAGCCCCTCCAATAAGAACACAACATTCCCCTTGGAATGTCCTAACAAATCCAGATGCCCTGCACTGGCACCTCCCCGTGGCTTGGCTTTATCTCCCCCAGTGTGGGCAGCCCCCAGGCCACGGCTTAACACTCCAGAGGGGCCAGCTGGAGGGTCCCCATGGGCAGGAGTGTCCCTGAGGAGCCACCAAGTGTCTCAGCACCCGTGACCTCAATCAAGCACATGACCAGGTGCCTGCTGATCCATAAGATGCTCTGGGAAGTCTGTGGGGAGCTCAGTAGGCATCTGTGATAGATACACAAAAGCCAGCCCGTCATGCCCTGGGCCATGTGGCTCCAGGAGAAGGGATATCCTGCACTCTCCCACTCAAGGCAACGCCGTGCCAGTGTCCTGTCTGCTCCCCAGTAACTTCACACCCACCAGAAGCACCTGGAGGAGCGGGCATTACCTCCAGGATGTTGTAGCGGGAGTTGTCGCAGTAGTCCCGGACGCCGATCTCGGTGCCCATGTACCAACCGCTGAAGGGGCAGGCGGAGAACTCCAGGCCACCAATCTCCAGGAGCATGTTGGAAACTGCTGGCAGGCCGTACCACTTCAGCCCCAGGTCCTTGAACCACTCAAACCTGCCAGGACAAACAGGCTTAGGCAACCGGCCAGACCCTTCCCTGTGGGAAGTGGAGGAGGTCACTTTGCTACCAGGGGGAAGGATGTGGGCAGAACAAACCCTGGAGGCAACACCTCCCTTGGGGGCTGCTTAAGGGGGGAAAGTGATGTATCAGGGTGTTGTAGAGTGGTGTAAGTCCTGGGAGACTTCAGGGAAAGGGGAACTAGCCTTCAGACAAGGGCACAACTTGCTTTCCATCTCCAGGCTCCGCCAGCTTGAGCAAAGGGAAGACCAGGGAGAAGGTCTTGGGTAAAGCACACAAGCCATGACAAGGAAAGGCCAAGGACAGGAGGTGGCTTGGTGTGGAACCAGAGGATCTCAGTCCTGCTGACCCCCTTGAGAAGTTCTGGGCCTTCCTCTGACTTACTTGGGGTGCCGGATGGGCACTTCCAGCACGAGCTCTGGGGGGATCTCGAAGAGCTCTGGATCGTTGCCGTTGGCTTGGAGGAGCAGTGGCAGGATGTCAAAACGTCCGTAGGGCGCCTTCCAGCCTTGTTGGATGCAGATCTGCAGGGGAAATAGAAGTGGGATGAGATGTCCCAGCAAGTCTCTGCTCTTCAAGCATACGGGCAGGGAGTTACATAGCTCCTAACAGGATTCCCAAGGATTTTCCAAGCTATGCATGGCTCCATTATGGTTGAGTAATAACCTCCAACCAAGGGGGTTGCCTGTCACAGCCCACCCACGGCCAAGTCAGGGGAATTTGGGCTGAAAACAAGCCCAGAACTAGATCTCAAGTAGGAACGTGGCTCTGGAAAATCCACTTAACGCCATTTGTGCCCGTAATAGCGAAGGGGGAAAACTGGTGAGAAAAGCGGGAAAAGTGAAAAGAAATACTCTTTATTCCTGAGAAAACACCTGAGGGCGACACAAGCCCAGCCTCGCTCCGTGCTGCTGCAGTGGACGAGCCAAACCTGCTTGACCCAGGCCCTCCTCACTCCTGGCACTCTCAGATTTCCGTGTGCCCCTCGCCAGCCCCACGCCCACCGCGCGGTGGTGCCCAGCTGGACCGGGCATCGTCTGGTACCTCGGTCAGCTCCACGTTGGCAGGGTCCCCCAGGATGGTGCCGTCGGGCTGCTTGTAGCCGGCGTAGCGGATGAGCTGGGCGTTCCAGATGCGAAAGTCGTGCTTGCTGTCCGTGCGCTGCGGGAAGATGGTGATGGCGGATCTGGAAGGAAGGGGCAGCGCCGGTGAGCGCCGGGGCCGCCAGGAGCGGGGCAAAAGTGTTGTGGGGAGAGGCGCTGTGCCTTCCTGCCACCTCCCTGGGCCCCACCCTTGTGTGAGCCCCAAGCAGTTTCGCACTGGAAGGAGTCGTGGCAAGGCTTTGGAGTTTGGGGTGCTTCCAGCTGGCTGAAAACATGGGGGTTCAGCCAAATCTGGAGAGCAGCCCATGCTCTGTGTTTGAAGCAGGACGCAGGAAAGAAGAAACAATCGGAAAATCTGCCCTCTGAGGTCCCACAGAGGGCAAGAGCTTGATTTGGAGCAGCAGGACACCTTCTCCTCAGATCAGGTCCCTCTAACACAGGTGAGGGCTACAACCCTCCTGCTGCTAAAGGAGACAACTTCAGCAGGGCCCAGAGCCCACCTCAGAGGCCTTTGGACTTGAACTCCCCGGTGGCTCACCTGAGGTTGCCTTTGTTGGTGGCGTACTTGATGTGGTTGCAGATGTAATTGAACATCCCGTGGGCTGTGGTGCAGTCGCGGGCGTCGAACACCTGGAACAGGGGAGGCAGTGGCGGTGACACTGCGAGGGGCTCCAACCCCCAGGGCAGGGCCAGGCAGATGGAACACAGCACGTGGGGAGCTCGAGACACCACCGTGGCTTCTCGGGGATTTTAAAGCTCCGTAATTATGTGTTCTCTGCCTTTAGAACACGTGGATGTCTAATCCAGCTGCCCCTTTTGCTTTGGAGAGGTGAGTCATCTGCTGCTCAGGCAAAAACCTCCTCATTCCAGTGCTCCCAACCTGCTGCTGTTCCTGGCTTAGCCAGCAACTGTTCTGGGGCTCTGCTCTGTTTCTCTCGTAGATCAACACTCAATGCTGAAATAGGAGAGGGGTCAGCCAGGTCTGAGGGACAGGGAATCATGGAATCATTGAATGGTTTTGGGTTGGAAGAGATTTTTAAAGAGCATCTCATTCCACCCCCTGCCATGGGCAGGGACACCTTCCAGCAGTCCAGGTTGCTCAGAGCCCTGTCCAACCTGGCCTTGGACACTTCCAGGGATGGGGCATCTACAAGAGGATGGGGAAACCAGGAAAGAGAGTCATCAGGAAGCCTGAAGTTCTTGCAGGAATGGCTCTCCCGCTGAGTTCCCAGCCTGTGCACCCCCAAACCTGCTGAGGGGAGCAGAGCTGCTGTGTGATGAACACCCACTGCTGTACCTGTGCTGTGCTTCCCCAGGTGTTGGAAGAGCAAGATTTGCCTCTCCACACCTCCAATGCACCCCTTTTACCTGCAGCTTGGACCACTGGATCCTGCCCACGCAGCGGGCTGCGTTCCTCCAGGCGTGCTTGGCTCCGTAGATGAGCTCGGTGTCCCGCAGCTGGTAGGTGTCAGTGGCTTCAATCTCCTTGGTCACCTCCTCCAGCCTTTCCATGTGGGCCTTGGAGCCAGATCTGGGTGGGTGGGGAGCAGAGGAGGTGGCAGTTTGGACCATAGAATCATTGAATCCCAGAATGGTTTGAGTTGGAAGGGACCTTAAAAATCTTCTCATCCCACCCCCTGCCCGTGGCCCATGACCTTCTCCAGGCAGTACTTACCTCTTTATGGAGGAGTAGTACTGGTCAATGAAGTCCTTGGCCAACAGGAGCACCTCCTCCTTTGTCCTGGTGTCTTCTGACTTGCGGATGTGAGGGCTGGGGGTCATGACTGAGCCCATGCAGATCTGCTCGGTGCAGGCGGTGGCCTGGTGGGACAGGAGGGGACAGGTGTGTCTGGGGTCACTGCAGCAGTCGTGGTTACCTGAGCTGGGCTGGGGGTATCAGTGATTCCCACACAGAGGTTGGTGGTATCTTTGGCAAGCAGGGACATTTCCAAGGGTATTTGTTTCCACCCCTGTTGTTAACGATGTGTGAGGCAGCTCAGGCGTGTGCAGTCAACTCTGGTCCCATCCAATAGGGATGATCAGGGCTCATGGGATTCTTGCCCCAGCTTGGCAGGAAGTCCAATGCCCTTCCTTATTTATCCCAGGTGGACTTCCCTCTCCCCCAGAGGTTTGAAATTCCAGCCCTCCTGGAGACCAGAACTGACCTGAATTCAGCCACTTCTGCATCCGCAGGCAAAACCCCCCGGGGGGGACACTGTGATCCACTCAGCTGTGCTCACACAGCTCCTGGCCAGTCCCACCAGCTCTACTCACCATGGCAGTCTTGAGGTGCAGGGTGTCGTGGAGCACAGAGCCCGTCTCCCAGTTCTTGATCTTCACAAACCGCGGGCATTTGGAAGGGCTCCCGTTGGCCGCGCTCTTGGTCGGGGACTGACGCCCGGACGGAGGTGGCTGCACAACAGGGAACACCAGGAACAAGGTAAGACACAGGGAGAGGTCACAACAAGGGGCAGCAGCTTGCGGTAGAGGACGCCTGTGCCTGAATTCCAGCGGTGATATGGCGAGACAAGGTGTGTTGCCCAAATAT